CTCCTGAAATTTTCAAAATCCTTATAATTTGAACAGTTTATTGTAAAAGCCATAATGGAATGTTAAGAGTCTACTGTAAGGCCAAATAGCAGGAGACAAAGGAATATGAAGCAAAATAAAACAACATAAAAACTTAAATTTTGCATTAATAGATAAAATCTATGACTTGACATTAGTTATAAAAACAAACAAACAAAAACAAAACAAAACAAAACTGTTGCCTTCGAGTCAGTTCTGACTCATAGTGACCCTATAGGACAGAGCAGAACTGCCTCATAGGGTTTCTAAGGAGCGGCTGGTGGATTCAAACTGTCCACCTTTTGGCTAGCAGCTGAACTCTTAACTACTACACCACCAGGGCTCCACATTAGTTATAGTCAGTCTAAATAAGAAAATAGAAAAAATGGTTTAATTTCCTTGGGTGACTTTTTCTGGTTTAATACTTGAATTTTTTCCCTCTGAGTGAGCCAAAATACATATACAAGTATTTTCCAGGAGAGACTATGCGATGCTATTGTAACCAGAAATCCAGCCAACTCTTTCCATGGCTTCTCCATTAAGACATGAGTGAGTATCCGTTCAGTCCCACTGGACTCATCTCTGGAGCCCAAGCAAATGGACTACAGTAACCTTTCTCTAGACACGGTGGAAATATGTTAACCCAAGCAAGAAAACACGAATATTACACCTACATGGGTCACACTTTAAAACAGTGGTTCTCAACTCTGGCTGTAGGTTAGAGTTACCTATCCCTACTTGGAAGCCAAGGAGCCCTGGTGGCGCAATGGTCAAGAGCTCGGCTGCCAACTGAAAGGCTGGCAGTTCGAACCCACCATTGGCTCAGTGGGTGAAAGATACGGCAGTTTGTTTCCGCAAAGATTACAGCCTTGGAAACCCTATAGGGCAGTTCTACCCTGTCCTGTGGGGTCACTCTGAGTAGGAGTAGGCTTGAAGGCAATAGGTAATGGGAGACAGAAGCTACTGAATGACAACTCCCAATGCCCAAGCCCTACCCACAAACTCAGTCTCTGGGGGTAGAGGCCGGGGAGACGGTGTTTAAAAATTTCTCCAGGTGATTTCAATGTTCAGCCTGATTGAGAACCACTGCTTACGAGGTTAAGCCCTCGTGGCACAGTGGTTAAAGTGCTCAGCTGCAAATCAAAAGGTCGGCAGCTTGAACCCACCAGCCATTCCATGAGAGAAAGATATGGCATTCTGCTTCTGTAAAGACTACAGCCTTGGAAACTCTATGGGACAGTTCTATTCTGTCCTATAGGGTTGCTATGAGTTGAAATCAACCAGATGGCAGTGGGTCAGGTTGGTCAGTTTCAGAGGTTCACTTTCTTAGCTATAAGCACTGATAACCAAGGTAACCTGCTTGCTAATGATGGATGCAAAAGCTAACCTAGTCCGTTCCTATAGGATGGCCTTCTCCCCTCCCGTAAAAAGATCAATCAATTAAATTAATTTAATAGAAAGATATCCATTTAACTCCTTTTTTGTTTTTTTGCCAGTGATTCTGTTTGTATCTTCTAATCACACGTACTTAACAGTTGTTTTAATTACAAAAGCAATGAAGGCTCATTTTAGAAAATTTAAAAAATATGTAAAGAAAAGAAAGAAAATAAATGCCACCCATTTTCCTATCATTAATTAAGGTAATCATGGTTAACTTCTGGGGCATAAAAAATAAAATTTGGATCATATTGCACATACAGTTTTGTTACCCAGTTCTATGATACATAATGTGAGAACCTTTCCATGTCATTACATAGTGACCTATATATTGTTGTGAATGGCTGCAAAGGGATCCATTGTTTGAAAGGGCCATTACATATTTATCTATTGGTAATGAATTTTTGCTTTAGGTTTATTCACAGACACAATTAGGACATGATTCCCTGAATGACAAACTAAGATTAATCTGGTAAATAATGAAAGGACAAAGAGTGGTGTGATGGTAAAGGGGAGAGGGGAGCCCTGATACGCAGCATTTGCAAACTGCAGTGGTATAAATACTCCCACCATGACCAATTTCAAGATAACAACAGTTTCTTGAAACCAGAATATTGAACAACTGGCTCTCTGGAGCTGGTTCCAGCTCACCCTTAAAGAAAACCCTGGCGAAACTGAGTTCTATTAAGTCCTTCATGTCAGGTATGTTCTTTGGATGGTGGAGTGGGGTAAAAGGGGGAGGTCTCTGTAAATGAAGGTGAACTACAGTTTCAGAACCTTAACAACTTTTTGTATTTTGACTTTGGAGTTGTCAAGTTATTTGGGCAGCTAGATGTTGAAGGTCTATTAAGAGTTTTTAAAAGGTATTAACGTAATAATAAGAACTAATGTAGAAAGTGTGAGTACACTGGAAAGACACATTCTCTGAGTAGACAGACTTGGGGCTTTGTGCAAGTGATTTAACCTAATGAAGTCTCTATTTCTTTATCTGTATATGGGAGCAATAGTATCTGTCTCAGTGGGCCTGGTATTAGGATTAAATATCATACATAAAGTACATAGTAAGCACTCAACAAATGGTACTTCCCTTTCCCTTATTAATTATTATTATTACAAATAACAATACCTTAGATTATTATTTTCTTTTAAAGAAGGGTATGAATTGTTTCAATGTTTTATTTTCAGAGAGTTTAATCAAGTTTATCTTTAAATTACGTATCTCTTAAGATTTAAACCAGCGGTCAGCCTACCGTGGCCCACAGACCAAATCCAGCCTGCCGTTTTTTTTTTTTTTTGTATATATTATATATGTAAATTTCATATTGTCGTTGTTGAGAATATACACAGCAGAACAAACATCAGTTCAACAGTTTTTATGCATACTATTTAGTGACACTGATTACATTCTTCGAGTTGTGCAACCATTCTCACCCTCCTTTTCTGAGTTGTTCCTCCCCATTAACATAAACTCACTGCCCCCTACGGTTCCTATCTAATCTCTCGAGTTGCTGTTGTCACTTTGATCCCATATAAATAGTTCTTAAAAGAGCATAACGCTCAAGCAGCCTGACACCTGTTTTTGTAAATAAAGTTTTAATGGAACACGCCATGCCCATTCTTTTAGGTATGCCTATAGCTATTTTCACACTACTGTAGCACATTGAACAGGGCTGAAACAGAGACTCCATGGCCTGCAAAGCCTTAAGTAGTTACTATCTGGTCCTTCACAGAAAAAGTTTGCCCATCTATGATTTAAATTGTTCTAGGTGTTCCTTAAGTGAATACTTCCTTTTTTATATATTAAAAAGTAAACAAAGGATAGAAAATGAAAAAGAACAGAAGACTTTCCTAGGACTTAGAAATTGCAAAGCAGATCTTGATTCTAAGAATACGTCACAAATACTTGAAACTCTAAAATGAAGATGACCTCTAAGTCAGTTTAGTCAAGACAGTCTATTTTGAAGACTATTTTATAAATGAATTTTGCTACTAGATGGCTATTATTCTGAACCAGGAACACAGCTTGAATATGGAGCTTGGAAGAGTGAATTTAGGAGGTGGAAACATAAAATATTATTTATAATCTGGCAATGAAAGTGACTGAAGCCACATTCGTCAGGCAAGAGAAGCTGATTTCTTGAACTACAGGTAAAATAACATTCCCGACATTGAAAAACGTATACAATCAAAACTCTACAGGGTAAGGGGTTCAATAAACCATTTTCCCTGCTAATTTTTTATGTTTATATGGAATGTTCTTCAAGCAGCAAATAACTTACCAACGATCTTGACAGACTGAAAATGATACATCTTTACCACAACATAAATTCTCTCAGTGGGAAACTGCTAAAATAGGCTAGGTGTCAGAAAGATTTCTTTATGTCTGAAGGAAAGGAAATGATTCCATTTCTTCCAAACATTCTTACATGAAAATAAACTCTCACTTTTAAACTGTCTTTATTTTCATGGGATTCTAAGGCACCAGTACACTAATTGGGGCAGTCACGGTTATCTGGTGTTGGACGTGAGCCAATCCACATCACCTCAGGTAGAAAACTCACCCAGGTGGACACTGCCCCAAAATTAATGACAATATCCATAGAAATGTCCAGAAAAGGCGATCGCGGAATTACACTACAATCTCACTACAGAATCCTTTTTCATTCCTTAGATTTACACCATAAACATTATACAAAGATCTTTGCAGAATAAAATACAAGGGAATCATGGTGGACCATCTAAAGAAAAGGATGAATGCCCAACACAAATGAACCAATTTATTCTCTACAGAAGAATGACCCTAGATTCTGTCCCAAAGTTCCTAGTTGAAATCCCAGATCACAGAGCTGAACATTTCTTGAATGCTGGGTGCATACAGGAGCCCTGGAGGTGCAGTGGTTAAGAGCTCAGCTGCTAACCAAAAAGTCAGCAGTCTGAATCCACCAGCCACTCCTCGGAAACCCTATGGGGCAGAGTTCTACTCTGTTCTATAGGGTCACTATGAGTCAGAAATGACTCAAGGGCAACGGGTTAGGTTTTTTGGTAGCTCAGCGCTTTGCACAGTGCCTGGTACATAGTAAGCATACTAATTTTTTTTAAAAAAAATCATTTTATCATGTAAATTTTCAAAAAATGCAAACCCAGAACGGTATAATGAACCGATGTGGACACCCAACACACAGCCTCAACACTAATTGACGTATGCCAATCTTATTTCACCTACCCCACCCACACACACCTGACTGAAGACACTATTCCTTCATCCATACATAACAAGTGGTAGGGGCTTTCAAAATTATCTGTAAAGTCATTATCACATACATGTTAACAATAATCTGTAAATCTTTCCTGCATTAATAATAGATGAATGAGTCACCATACTCTACAGAGGCCAGCAAAGGGTCACAGAAGTGGTGGGTCTGAATCATCATCTGTCCCTGCTCCTTCTGCCCCCAGTACAGCAGGTACACGCAAATGTATGCATGCATGTGTGCGCGCACTCACATACACACTTGCTTCTCATCATGAGGGACCAAGTCACTCACCTGTTGGAGTGCTGCTGCGGAATGATGATGAGGGGGTGATGGGTGGGGTCACGGGGGGAGTAAGGCTTCCACTGCTGTGGCGTGGTGGAGTGGACACATTCCCTCGAGACACCGAACTGGACAGGGTCAGTGAAAGCTTCGGCTGAATCTTCTTTTTCAGGGATTCCTGTTCTCGGCGGGCAGCATCTGTCATGAATCTGAAGCAACAATACAAGGTAAGTTACCTGGGCCATTTATAGAGCATGAGGACTTAGGGCCAGTGAACCTGAGAGTTTGATAAATACCAGACTCTGAGGAAGGGGCTTGTTCACAGGTCAGTCTCAGTATTAAAAACCAACAGCTTCCCTTTTCCTACAAAATGAGTTTATCTTCTAGCTTGTAGTTTTAAGTTTCCTCAAAGGCAGGTCTATTTCTTCCCTACGCACATTTTCCTTGCTAGAAAATTCATACACAAAGAACTTACCTGTACCCACATCGATGCCTTAATTACAAGATTTCCTCTCTCAGAAGGTCCTCTCTCTTTCAGCCCATAAGAAGCCCACCCATCCTCAAAGTTCCCGACCAGTCCTAAACAGACAGCACTTCTATCCTCTGCAGGTTGGTAGTATTTACTGTTCGTACCACTAGCTGTGACTTAACATATATGGCCTCATGAAAACTCTATGTTTTTATTACTCTGTGCTCTCATATTGTAATTTGAGTTTTTAAACTTTTCTTGGCTGACTGAAGATCTTGCCTCCCCTAACCATCATTTTGAAGGAAAAGACTCCAGGCCCTACAATCCTTCCTTGCACACTGCCAAGCCCACCGCGGTAAACATCTGCCAAATGACTGAGCAAATCTGCCCACGAAGAATCAAGAAGAGGAGAAGAGAGCAGTAGAAGGTTCAGAGTTACTCTTTCAACACTTCTCTTTTGTTAGTAACATTCAAACTTTGTCCTCTTCTCATTGTGTTATCTAGCATTTCATAAATTCATATAAGATGAGGTTCAAAACAATCTATAACACGTTATCTCTTACCTAAAGAGGACAAATCCTTTTGTATTACTGGCAGACAGACTGTCAGTTGCCATTTTTGAAAATTTCAATGGAAAGCGTAGCGAATAAAAAGTCAATGGAAGTGTTTGGGTAATAAAACCACCACCTGTGCCCACCGCCCAGGCTCAGAAAGAGAACATAAGCATGCCCACCATTCCTCCCCAGTCCCTTCTGTGCCCTCATCAATTGTGTTTTGATGGTTTCCATACAATTCATCATAAACCAACTCCACTGCACTTACACATGGTATTTTATCTAATCCATTCAGTCTGCCTACAAAATTTTTCAATGTTTTTCTTCACTACACTAGGAAGTTTAGGAAATCCACAGATAGTTCCAATGCAGTCAAAGCTTAGAGTTACCAAACACTCAATGAAACAACAGTAATATTGTTACAATGTCTTAAAATTTCTACATTTATACTTGGAACATGGATGGCACATTTCTTGAATGGCTTCTGCAATACAATCTGGATATAGAAACTGTATTTTTTATGTAATAAAGCTACGTGCTTTTCCTTGAGTTCTTAGGTTTTGTGCTACAAGATGGTGATGATTTAAAAAGAAGGAACTACAATGCAAAACAGAATTGCTTGCGCCTGGCAGATAGGTACTCATTTATTTACAGATACAAAGTTGGTTTTACTCCTCCTAAAACTTCTTTGTTCCCTCCTCATAAACCTCTACTCAAAATGTGGACTCTCAGAGAAAAGCAAGGAACCAATGCTTTCTTTTGTTATTCAGAGTAGAACTACTAACTGGAAGAGTGCTGAGCTTGTCAAATTGGGGTATGCAGTATGCCAGGGAGCGGGCAAAACCACAAGATAAATATACTGCTTCTTCCAGGAAGACCAATTATTCTTGATGGTAAACAAACAAACAAACAAACAAAAACCAAAAACCAAACCCATTGCCATCGAGTCGATTCCCAACTCATAGCAACCCTATAGGACAGAGTAGAACTGCCCCATAACGTTTCCATTACCCTTTTCGTTAACAGCCAAGCTCTTAAACCACTGCACCACCAGGGCTCCATGCTCGATGGTAGGTAATTCAAATTAGTTTTTAAAATACAAAAATAGATACAGATACCCTATGGAGTAAAATGTAATATTTACACCTTGCGTTTTAATTAAGAACATGGTCAGACAAGCCTGGGTGAGCTGAGGCAAGTTGATAAACCAATAACTGTAGGTTAAAAAAAAAAAAAAATTAACAGAAATCTTTTCCCCTTCTGCATGAGAATTTGACCTTTGGTTAACTCTGGTAACCTACTAAGACGTATGTCAGCTATGTTAGGAGGCAACACTACTTGGGGTAGATCACACCTGGACTGGGGAGAGCTAGGAACAATCTATATGCTCCCGACAGGAAGCCAGAGCTTTGCGCTTTCCTAGCTTGGTGATTTTATACTAGGCTTGTCCCTTGTGGGGACCCTGAGAACTATTCCCGTGAAGTGTCACAGGGGCTACTGACACCTGTGGGGTTCAAGGCTTCTTATGCCAGAACAGCTCCCGCCCCTGCCGGAGGTATATCTCGCCTCTCTGTGTCTGAGCTGGCCGCTGTGTGTGCTGCTGCAAGGATTCTGGCAAGCGGTGGCTCTATCCTAGAACCTTCTGAACAGACCAGTGCCAGAGGTGGCTGGTGTGTCTTGTGAGTCTGAATGTTTATGACCTAAGAAGACATGCTGGTGACACGTGCCTACGTCACAGAACTGCTGTGAGGATTCAAGGAGGCCACATATATACTATGTGGCTAGAAATGCAGAGGCTGTTATTTGTTATGTAAAGTATTCTCATAGGGTTACCTCTCCATATTCTGTCTGCCTTACTCAACTTCAGGATTCTTGAGCAGATGCTGCAAGTTTATGGCTCTGGTACGTGCCTCATGCATAGGGAAGCTCCGTTTGTGGAATGTCTGGCTGGGAATCAGACCAGAGGCTGCACGTACAAAGTCAGACAGAAACTTGCACAAAATTGCGGCTGTTCCATGTCTTCTCTTATTTGGATTAAAAAGTATCAATAGCTCATGATTCTTATTGTAAAACAAATGCTCTCCGACACCTCAGATCTAAAACAACAGCAAAAAACAACAGGCACGCCACCCTTCTCCACCTTTACCTCGCCATGGGTTTGGTCAGCTACAGATCTAGTTTTGGCTTATAGTTTCTGAGCAACTGTTAGAAGGGAGAATGAGGCACCCACAGTAAAAGCATTAAACATAAAACACATTCAGAAAGCACTGTGCCCACCCTTCCCTCCCTCTCCCTTTTCTGTCTTGGAATGGTGATTGTGAACTTGGAGATTTGAGAAACAAACAAACAAACCCCTTGCTGTCGAGTTGATTTCGACCCTATAGGACAGAGGAGAACTGCCTCATAGGGTTTCCAAGGAGCGGCTGGTGGATTCCAGCTGCCTACCTTTTCGTTAGCAGCCCAGTTCTTAACCACTGTGCCACCAGGGCTCTACAGAGTTGGCAGAGATTGCTTTAAAATCGACTGCTAACCGAAAGGCTGGCAGTTTGAAACCACCAGTGGCTCCGTGGGAGAAAGATGTGACGATAATCTGCTTCTGTAGAGATTTACAGTCTTACTGGGAGGCAGGCAGCCCTAGCCTTGATTCTGGATCCACTTCCTACCAGACAAGCCATCTTAGTCAATCTGTGCCTGAACTTGGAGATACAACCCATAAATCACAGCAACCTAGCTGTACTACTACACAACATATTCTGCATGACAACACACACAGGCACACAGGGCATACAAATACCTTGAGAATGCTGGTCACAACTGGCCAGTTTCCCCCTCTCCCGCACTGTTATTCCCCTTCCACTCATTCATTATAACTTTACCTATTTTTTGAGACTTACTAAACCTTAAAGTTCTTAAGAAGTGTTCCATCAATACAGCTGTCTGTTAAAAGGTGGGCAGATTTCCAATGGCAAAGAATCATCTGGGGAGACAATTTTACTGTTTCCCTACACACAGAGAAAACTGGACTATTTCTTAAAGAAAAAACAGTCACCTGGAGTTCTTTCCCTGTTGACTAACAGCCTGGAAATCTGCGGTCAGGCAAAGTAGTGTTTTCATTCTGAAACCGAAACCGTCATAAGATTAATTTTAACCTTCCTACAAATCAGAAATGCCTAAGTTACTTTAACACAGTCATTTGTAGTTGTATTTGTTATTGCTAGGGGAAGTACATATTCCTAAAGTAAATTTTCAAGACTCCCTTATAAATCTTTTAAATCCTTAGACCACAACGTTCATTCAGTCTGACATGTTAAACGTGGAAATATGAATATAACACCACAGGGGGAAAATGTCAACTGCTGGTCCAGAGAGACCAGTTTAAACCACAAACTCAGGAAATTTACAGTATTTGCTGGAACCTGGGCAGAGATTCCACTGCCACCTGACCCCATGGCCAAAATATGAGTGTATGTGTCCTTGCTGGGGAAATGACCTGGTGTCCACAGGCGCTGGAGAAGCAGAAATGGAGGTGACCACTCCAAACACTTTAGTCTCTCTTGGAAGAATCTTGAACAGAGTCCAAACTCTTGACACGTGTGGTGTGGGCTGGTTGTTATTATATGACTCTGGAGAGGACGTGTGGTCCAGGGACCTGAGCTGTGCTTTAGCAAGTCACAACGCTCTCCTTTCTGGCCCTGATTTTTCTATTTGTTAAAATTGAGGATCTTTGGTTTATGGATATATGGAATATATCACCCCAATGGTCCTTCCTAGTTCTAACAGTCAATAATTTCAGCAATACCACAGTGCAGTGTTTTTCAAAGTTTCTTACCTCCATCCATTATAAGAAATATATCTCATATTGAGACTGAGGCACACATCTATGTATAAATAGGTCCATAATCTGCAATTTTGAAATGTCCAAAGCCTTGAAAACTGGAAAGTTTTTAAAAAATAAGTTTGGCACTAAAACTCATTGGAAGACAAGCACTGATTGGTACTGTTGAAAGGCTATTTACACACTTGATCACATTTAGTGTAAATATTCATATGCTTCACTGCATAAATATTAATGTGTTTGACTGCAAGGCAATGCCCCAGGCCCTGCTGGGATTGTTATGTAATATGCAGTATGTGTACTGTATTACCTTTCTAAAATCTGAAAAATTACAAATTATGAAACATTTCT